ATGAAAAATATTTAAAAAATATTTTACCTGAAAAATTTGACCAAAATGCCCCTAAAAATTTTCAACGATATTTTGGTCGATGATTTTCATGTAAAATATTTTTTTAATATTTTTCTAGATTTGCCTATTTTTAATGAACACACCCTCCAAATTTCAGGTCATTTCGATTTATAGAAAATAAATTAAAGTTCAAATACTACTAGGCATCCGTGATTGTCAGATTGGTCCTTATTCAATTTGGGTTATTGACGCATTTAGCTTATCTACAATAGGCCTATATATATATATATATATTAATGATCTTATATGACCCTCCCCCACTGATGTGTGTAGGACCCCAAATGATCACGATTAAAGTTGGCACGGATCTCTATAAAAGTTATCATATAGGGTGTGAAACTTGACTTTTCTATAGATCCGTGTCAAATTTAATGGTTATCCTTTAGGGTCCTACACACATGGGTAGGGGAGGGTCGTATGGAATCATTTATCATATAGGGTGTAGTTACCATACGGATGCATCCGTAGCTGTAGAGGTAAGGTGCAACTTCAAATTTAATCATGGTATATATTTTTAATGTAAAATTTTTTTAGGATTATCTCAAAATCTATTTCTATATTTAATTATAAAATTTTAAATTTCAAAAATTGTTAAAATCAAGTAGATCTATAAACATATGAACATCTTGAAAATGGACGGTGTAGATATTCTGTTGTAAAATGCATTATTTCTGAGACTTAAAATCTTTGTATTTTTCATGGTCATACATCTCGATGTCGAAATGATCAATCAAAGGGTTTTTCAACATTAAAACTACATTTTCCGATGGATTTTTGAGGTGCATCCCTAGTTCTCCATATAAGGTTGCAACCTAATATAAACTTTTAGCATATATATATATATATATATATGTATCGGAATGATTTGAAATTTGGAGCATGTGTACATCTTAGTGAGTCGCACCTAATAAAAATATGAAAAACATAATTCACAAAATATAAATTAACCAAAATGCCTTCATAAATTTTTGGGAGTATTTTAGTCAATTTATATTTTACGATTTTTTTTTTTCATATTTTTATTAAGTGTGTCTCACTAAGATATTCGCGCGCTCCAAATTTCAAGTAATTTGAATTTGTAGAAAAAAAAAATGAAATTTGAAACACTACCAGACAACTGTGGCCGTTCGATGAAGTTTGGATGGTGATGATGGTAGGCGAAATCACTAATCATTTTTACCTATAGGTGTTGGGAAGAGTTTTCCATATATATATATCTATCTCAACCTAGCGATCAATTTCAAGAAAAAAATCATTCACGCTATATGTTTTTAGAAAAATAAGCAGATAGCATATATTCCAGATTCATGATAAGTTTTCGCAAAGTTTTAGTTTGGACACTTATCTAATAGAACCCTACCTTTTTACCCTAGCGTGAGACGGGTTAAGGGAAAGTTTAAGGGTGTTTACCCGAACATGGGAAGGGTCAAGGAAAAGTTTAAAGTCCCCACCCTTCTTAAACCAAACTCAATTTCTTTTTTCTGAAACTACTCATCTCGTTGTTCTAGAGTGGATCCCAAATATTCCAATGATGAAATTCATTCTAATGGGGTTATTTCCCCAAAGAAGTATATAAGAAAAAGTGTTATATGTGTCAGGGAATGCATTTCTACATTTCCAACCCTCTAGGCATAAACCATCCCCTCAAAGATGGATGTAAATGATGGTCCATCCAAAGTGAAAATAAAATCATGGTTTAAATATTTCTTTAAAAATAAATTTAATTTTAATTTTGAAATTTTATATTTTACCACATTAATGATCACCATGTTAGGGATTATATATTCCATAAAAACTAAGGTTAAAATCTAGTTAAAGCATAGATTATTAAGGGAGGCCTGCATACGAGGGGACTCGTAGAAACCGTGTGCAATATATAATGTTGTGTTCCTGTGCGCGCTAATTACAAATGCTTAATACAAGTATTTTTGGTTATGGCATCTTGAGTATGAACCAATTGTATGTTCTCTACTAGGTATAGTGCAGGCCATCCAGACCGTCCATTATTGTGTTTGGTCCCACCAAGCAATTAAGAACGGTCAGGCAAATGTGTTAGTTATGCCTCCGTTCCCTTTTTTTTTTTTTTTTAACACTACCAAAGGAATGGACGGCCTAGATTATTTCGGCTTGAAAAACATGTATGCGGGTTCATGGAATTACTCCTTTTCTTTCAAGGGTGCGATTTGTATAGAGCCTAGGCTCTAAACAATCAAATTAGAGTCTACCTTTAAATAGTGTCGAGAAAAGTAGTTTCAATACTGAAAATATTTGTGATAGCCTTAAAACATATTTCCATCTTTATTTATAAAGTTTAAAGCTTAAAAAATAGTGTAGATCAATGGATGAAAAATTTGAAAATTGACGGCTCAAAAAATGCATTACAAAATACACTATTTTCAAAACTTGAAATCCATTTTTTTCTCATGTCCATGTATATTGATGTCGAGATGATCAATTTGAAGATATTTGGACATCAAAATGACTTCTTCTAATGAAATTTTTGAGAGAAGCTCGAATTTGATTGATTGGAGCCTCCATTCTATATAAACTTTTCCCTTCTTAAAACCCGTTGCTCAATCTTTATAAATTGCTGTCAGACAAGTATACAGGAATCATGCCTTAAGGAATTTGTATGTCATTTCCAAGCACGTGAGTGTGATGTGAATGTCACTCCTCACTCCTAAACCTGACCTACCAAAACGGAGTTTTCCCACCAACGGGTCCAAAAGGCCTGCACAGGCCGGTTTGGCAGTAACCCATTTAGAACACGGTTGAGGGCTTTGAAATTATAGTCATCACCATCCAAACGGTTATTGAATCAATGATGGGAACGGTTATCGAATCAATGACGGGAGTCCAATGAAAATTAATGTGACCCTCGTTCAATCGGTCGGACTAGATTTTTAAAAAATATATAAAATTAAGATAATAAATTTAAAACATAGCTTATATTAGAAGAAAAATTTATCAACTTTGTTCAACCCCGTTGATTGGCTCAAAACTGGACAATCTAATTGGGCAAAGCCGGTCAAAACACTAATTTTGTATAGTTTTTTATTACGTCGGGATTTTGTTTTAGATGGGACCGACCAAGACATGGATATGTGGTCCGATCGGTTGGACGGGTTGGTCTGTTCCAATCTTGAAAACTGAGGTTTAAAAAAAGGAAAAAGTTTATATAAAGTTCCAACTTTAAAATGTAGAATTACAGATGCACCTCAAAAATCCATCGGTAAATGTTGTTTTAATGTTGAAAAACCCTCTAATTGGTCATCTAGACAACGAGATGTATGAATATATATATAAAAAGATTTTGAGTCTTAGAAATAGTGCATCTTGCAACACATTATCTAGACCGTCCATTTTCAAATTTTTCATATGTTTATAGATCTGCTTAATTTTAACCATGTTTGGAGTTTAAAATTTTATAATTAGATATGAAAATAGATTTTGAGATAATCTTAAGAATGTTTTACACCAAAGTTACATGTTAGATAAAATTCGAAAGCGTGCCTTAATTGGATTGTTTAAGGTTGCAACCTTATAGAAACCACACCCTTTAAAAAATAGGGATCCAAATCGGAACTAGCCAATCCAGATCAAGAACCGATCAGGCCAATCCGAGTCCCACAAAATATCGGGAACCAGCCACATTTCTTTATGAACCAGCCCCACTTTTTTCTTTAGTTTCTTATTTTTATTTGTTGGTTTAGTCGACTAGATTGCCAATCTGCTTAACCATATCAATTTTCCATATGGGTGATCCAGACCATGACCTATTATTTTAAGAAGTGCGCTAGAGTCCGTTGACATACGAGCGTCCATCCGAAAGATGGATGTTATCGAAATTGTATTGTCCTTATATTAAATATTGACGGTGCATAAAAAAAAAAGTCGAAAAAATTATATTTTTAGTTAAATTTTTTTTTTTTCATATTTATGATCATCTTGGCCTAGATGATGAACCTACAAAAAAAAAAAAATAGAAATTTAAATTGAATTTTCGGGGGGGCACAAATGTACATATGAGTCGACCGACTCATAAAAACTCATCGTTGTTTTAAACCTGCTCTAAAACTATGTTTGATAAACCATAATTCAAATATGGGTATGGTTTGTATAGAGCTGGGGCTCTAAACAATCAAAAGGAAAACACACCTTCAAATAGTCATGGTTTCAATACTAGAAATCTTTATTATAGCTTTAAATATATTTTTGTATGTAATTATAAAATTTCAAGCTTAAAAACAATGTAGATTGAGCAGATCTATGACAACTTGAAAATCTTAAAAATTGACAGTAAAAAATGTATTACAAGATACACTATTTCTAAAACTTTGTGAAAATCCATTGTTTTTCTCATGTCCATGGATATTGATGTGAACTTTGAATATATGATCAAATTTGAAGATATTTGATTATCAAAATAACCTTTCATAACGATATTTTCCAGGTGCACTCTAATTTGATTGATTGTGCAGAGCCTGGGCTTTATATAAACTTTATCCTTGAAATATTGATTAGGGCAAATCGGAGTGATGGGCTGGCTTGAGTAATTATGAGAACAAACCCGGCTTCTATTCTATTGGTCTCAACGTAGGCACGTGTGAGACACAACTCGATATGCACATTTTATGAAAAAAGACTTAATTTTTGCGTCAGCCCCAGTTGTACGCCGCATTCCCATGCCTTTTGCAAAAATATCAACAAAAAAAAAAGTCTAAAAGCCAAAATAAAGTGTACAAGAAAGAAGGAAAGAAACGTGGTGGTGCGGTAACATTTTAGAAAGAGAAAACACGCACAAATATTATCTTATATTCTCTCTTCTCATAAATCTTTTTCTCGATCGATCTCAGGCCCTCTCTCTCTCTTTTCCTTCTTCATCTCCCTTTTTAGAAGAGTAATTTATAAATAAATATTTACACGGAGCAGGTTCTTTCTCTCACTTCCTTCTCAATATTTTCCAATTTTTGTTCTTCTTTTCCCTTTTCACTTATCAGATTAGAGATAGAAACAAAACTGCCTGCTTTTCGTTTTACGATTTTTCCTTCTCTCTAGTGTTTGTTTGATAAATTTTTGTTTGGTTTTTTGTTTTTTTTTTGGTGGGATTTGGAATTTTGGATAGTGGGTTTTGATTCCGATGTCAAGTGGAAAATAGTTTTTTTTTTTTTTTAATTTCGGTTTCTTTTGATTTGTCTGGATAAATATCTAGGTTTCGATTTGGTAGTAGAAAGGCCAAGCAATATCTAGGTTTCCGTTTGGTGGTAGATAGAAAGGCCAAGCAGTTTCAGATTGGGTTTTTCCCTGGTAATAGAAACAACTTATACCCTGAGAATTTGCCACAGAATTCTTGTTGGTAATATCGAGAAAGGGATAAATTCAGGCCTTTTGGTCAGTTTGCTCAGAGAGAGCTGATCTTTAATTATGCGAACTTCGTGGGCGGATTCGGTCTCAAATTCAGCAGCTGAGAATGTAACAGCTGCTGCCACCAACAATGGCCCAGCCAGCAGTGCCTCTTCGCGACCGTCACGATCTTCTTACGTTCCTCCTCACCTTCGTAACCGACCCCCATCAGCCGAGCCCCTTGCCCCTACACCCAAAGAAAACCTAGCCTCCACGAACCGATCTGCTTACCCAGGCCCACCACCCTCCCAGCCCCGTTGGGGTAGCCGCGAGCCAGCCAGGCCTGGCTCTGGGCCATCTCGAGGTGGTTGGGGCAACCGAACTGGTGGTTGGGATCGAGGTAGGGAGAGAGAGGTTAACCCTTTTGAGAATGATGAACCAGCTGAGGAAGCCTTTGGTGAACAAGAGAATACTGGTATCAATTTCGATGCCTATGAGGACATTCCTGTGGAAACAAGTGGTGATAATGTGCCGCCTCCTGTGAATACTTTCGCCGAGATTGATTTGGGGGATGCTTTGAATGAGAACATAAGGCGGTGTAAGTATGTGAAACCAACACCGGTACAGCGACACGCGATTCCGATATCGCTGGGAGGGAGGGATTTGATGGCATGCGCACAGACTGGGTCAGGGAAGACAGCAGCGTTTTGCTTCCCCATAATTAGCGGGATTATGAAGGGGCAGTATGCACAGAGGCCTAGGGGGGCACGCACTGTGTACCCCCTCGCACTGATTCTTTCTCCTACAAGGGAGCTTTCTTGTCAGGTAAATGGGAAAGGGCCTCAAGTTTTCGCTTTCATGTACCACTTTGAATATGGGCTTGTATTTTTTCCTGGGATGTGATGCTGTGTTAGAGGAAATTGTTGCAAAGTTGTTGAATTGGTTGTCTAATTTTCGAACAATGTCATTGGATTTATTGGAACAATCTCTAGTTATTCTTTTTAATTTTGTTTTCTACCTTTAGATATAACAATGATTGCTGAGTGCTCCATAACAATGAATCTCTACTTTTCTAGTAATTGATTTCTACTTGTTGGTATAGTGTTAGTCCAGTTTATATATATATATATATATGTATTCTTTTGAACTCTGTTCTACTTTCCATGATACCGTTTGAGCTTCTCTAACAGCTTCCAGTTTTTGGTTTTTAAAATTTTTTGTACTTATCCACATAGTATGAGTTTGGTCTTTAACTCTTTGGTTTGATCACTTCGTGGGTTGGTTACTATTTCCCCAGATACACGATGAAGCGAAAAAGTTCTCCTATCAAACGGGTGTTAGAGTTGTAGTTGCATATGGAGGAGCACCAATAAATCAACAGGTTCTCATCCTGCTCCCAATTTTTTTTTCATTTTTTTTATTTTGGAGTTTCTTATAATGAATTTGCCCCTTCCAAGTTGTTCCTCTCCTGCTGTTTGTGCTTGCTAGATAGTTCATTTAATATTAGAACAATGTGTTGGTTTTGGGAGGTTCTTTTCATTGGGCTTTCATTGAGCTGTAGTCCCTTTCCACTGAAAATATATGGAACGTGTTGTGTTTGTTACCTTTTCCAACTTAACTTCAAGCTTGGAATAGAAACCCATCTTCTCAAGTTATCTGCCGTTAGAATCATCCACATTCAATTAGTTCCTTTTTATTAGAGAAGTTTCTCTTGTGCTTTACTTTTCCTGGCTGGGTTTTATGATTTGATTTTGTTTCTATGGTTAGAGAATATCACTAAGTATTAACAGATATGTGTTGTCCTGGAAGATGTTTTGCGGGTTATGAATCAGGAGAATTAAGGCAAGCCTGCATATCTCTCTCTGTCCCTCGCTTTCTTTGAAGAGAGAAAATTAGGGTGGTTGAGAAAGAAGATATCTACAATGTGGCCATTATCTTGTTCTGAGCTGCTAATTTCCCGCAACACGATTAATTTTGAAATAGAGTTATGAGGAGTTAAATTAGCTATTGACCTTTTATTGAGTTTTTGGGATTTGAGAATATCAAAGTCTTTGTAGAGAAGTTATTTTTTGTTTTCCAAAAGTGTACTGCTAATTTAATTTCTTTTGGAAGAGAGTTTTAACTCTCTCTCTCTCTCTCTATATATATATATATATATATGTATTAATTTGTATATCATGTTTTTGGCTTTTTGTTGGATTGGTTGGAAATATTAAGTTAAAAACACTAAGCCTATGTAAGACTGGACCTTTTAGAAATTAGTGTCTTCTACTGTGTGTTATGGTAATTTCTACTGGTTTCCTTGTGACCAGTCCCAATGGCTTCTATGGCATACATTGTCATTAAAATAATGAGTTTAACGCATTGAAACGTAGTGAGGCGCCTATTGTGGAGGAGGCACTGAGTCAGCTAGGGGGCTTGGCAACTAAGAGTGTGGAAACTATGGTTAATCATCATCTCTATTTTAATTGATACAATAATATTTTGTTATGCTGTATCTTCGCGAGTGGAACACTTGCTCATGTCTATTAGATGGTTTGAGTTATTGTCAGGGCTAGTGAGGGAACTTACATAATGGCGCCATTGTGGGGATCTGTGTTCCTGATGATACACTTAATAAGTTGGTATGTGTCCTTCACTATAGGGTTGCACGGTTCTCTCAGGCCTATCTATAACTTCCTAGTTTCAGATGGTACCCTTGTGAGAATCTCTTAATCCCTGTCATTGAGAGATGTGACTGGTGGATGCACCTTGTATAGCTGAATTCCTCTCCTTGGCTGGTACAACAACCTTAATTAAATCCACTTTTAACAGCATCTCAGTCTATGATATGTCCCTTTTCAAATTCTGGGTGGAGTGGCTAATAGATTAGAGAAGTTACAATGGAACTTCTTGTGGCAGGGCAACAATGACACATAAAATTCCGTGTGGTCAGGTCAAAAGATGTGTTAGACAAGGATTCTTTTGTGGCTGGGGCACTTGGAGAGTTCTTACTACCATCCAAGCTCTATAGGGGGAATGACATAAATGCGTCGTGGCTGAGAATGGGGCCGTTGGGTTATGATTATGGAGAGCAAGTATGAGAGCGGGGGGAATGGGTGGGACTTAGGATCTGGGGCAGGTCAGGTAGGATATGTGGAGTTTTGATAGGCATTGGGTCAGTAGGTCCTTCAGGGAGTATTAGATTCAAACTAGAGCACAAGGGAAGAAAACAAATCTGGGTTCATAGTTGCCTCTATTTCAAGGTTTCCAGGGATTCTGAGTACGTCACTTGATTTGAGTGCTGCTGCTCATGAGTGTTTTTGAGTGTAGTAGCAGTAGGAGGGTTGTGCGGATTCCCCCACTTAGGCTGAACCCTAGAAATGGAGAGACTGGAGAGAGTTTCTGACCTGCTTTGTTCTTTCTTGTCATGTCATCGGAAAGCAGACGCTAGGGCTTGTGCTGCTCACCTGGTTTGGGCTGTACCAGCTACACCAAGAGTTATTACTTTTTGCTGGTGAGTCATGTGGAACAACCTTTATTGGTAACCATTTAAATCATCGTGGGTTTTAGTTTCCAATAGATGTTATTTATGTTGGATGATTAAGTAAATGATGGACTATTTGCTAGTGAATTGCTCTTATGCCCGCAATGGTTTGAGTTTCTTTTTGGATCTTTCTGGGATTTGCAGTTATGCTCGCCTCAGCAGATGAGCTCCTCAGCTATCGGAAGGGTGCCTATTGTGAATAGTTTGCTTGTCGATGATACTTTTGGGCCTTTATAATGGTAGGATTTTTGAGTGTAAAATAATCCATCACTTCCGTACTACTGAGAGGATGAGGTACCACCACTTTATCATGGATCCTGGGCTTGGCTAGGCTTGGACCCAAGTGTGAGAGTCCAAAACTATAGTTACCCGAAGCGATTTGGAAACTGAATCGATTTAGGAATTGAAAGTGTGGAATCACTGCCGGCTGGAAGATTCCTAAGTGCAAGAGGAATCATGGGGGACGAGATTCCTATTTTTAGGAGTCGAGAGTCGACCAAAATAAAACCAAGATCCTTACATAGATAGATTCGAGATTACTAGCTCTTTGGAATTGACTTTTCGACCTAGTTGGAATCTACCAATATGGAATTGAGATTCTTTCATTTATGAAATCGAGATTCCAACATCTTTGGAATCGAGATTCCGACATCTTTGGAATTGAGAGGAAAACAATTCATGTCTCCATGCCATACATGCACCTTTTACATTATTTGCATTACATTATTTCCAACATCTTTAGAGTTGCAATCTCAACATTGGATTAATATAATGCATGCTTGAAGAATTAAGTAGAGAACGTGGACTACTACTTTGATTTCTATTTGTCATTTCAGGTCAAAAAAGATAACTACACCTTGTAGCTTGAGATTGAGTATCTAGCTTGAGTATTTTGATGTCTTGAAAACTTCTAAACATCACTTCTCAGAAAGTAGCAAAAAGAGGAAAAGGGAGGGGGGGTGGAAGTGGTAGAAATCCGGTAAATGTGGAAAGTGGAAACTAGTTTCAACAAGTGTAGAATTGAGATTCACCAATTGCGGAATAGAGAATTATTAATATTAGAAACGAGATTTTAAAAGTGTTGGAATCGAGATTCTAAACTTCGCGGAAACGGTTATGTGAAGATTCCTAGTCGGAATGGCAACCTTCGGTGAGAGATTCGGGTAATTATGTCCAAAACTTTATTTTCTATAGGGATATGATGTGAGCTATTCAACGAGGAAGGCGAAACTGTAGCCAGGATGGATCCTAGTTCCACCTGGCTTTGTTAAATTAAATTTTGATATCTCATCGGGAAACCCTGGTCCTTTTGGGGATGGGGGAGTGTTCAGGGATAGCAATGGGATTATTCGGTAAGTTTTTAAAGGCCTGAAAAGTATTTATAGCTCATGTACGACAGAGATTTAAATTGTCATTGACTGGCCTTAGATTGTCTCTGAGTGACCTTTCTGGTTCCCTTTTAGTTGAAGGTCACTGAATGCCATTCAATTGGCTTCCAGAGATTCTACATATTCGTGGCCCTCCGTTGATCTTATGAAAGAGACATTTCGATATGCTATTCATTGGATGCAACATCGGGGCATGTGTGTACAGAGGCAAAAGAAGTTACTGATGAACTTGCTAAGCTAGTGGTGTCCTTACCTCAACAGGCATCTGCTTGACTTGCTCTTTCCTTTTGTGCACTTCCACAGTGGACTTACACTGTCCACTGACCTCCACCCTCTCTCTTCATTCTCTTTACCTTTCTTGCATTTGCTTCCCGTGGTTTTATAGGCCTTCTTTTGTATGAACTCTAGGACCCACAACTTGATGTGTGCTTTCTTTCATCTTGGTAAAATGATTAAAATGTTACCCATTAAAAAAGAAGTTGTAAGGAACCCCTGTATCACATTCACCTCCTCACGCCGTCGTTCACAATTGTTGCTTGATCACTTCACACGTTTATACGCTTGGACTCCTGAAGTTGTGCCTGGAATGAAAAGACCCCTAGCATTTTGTCATTTTCTGCTCCAATTTGTCACATACCTTTAAAACCAATTCCATCCTCCTTGTACCATGCGCCTTCTGTTAATTTGTTTTTTCATATTTTCAATGCTTAAAATCTTTTCTACCTTATATGGTGTTCAGTATCCGCTTCCCTATTTTTCTAGCAGTTTCTTGGCCTTTTTGGCCATTTTGAACACTATACAGGTCATTCACAATTTTATACTCGATAATACCTTCTTCCACCTGTTGACATGGTCTTTTTTAAGAGCAAGGTGCTTTTTAACTAGCTATATATCCTTCCCACCTAATGTTATTCAAGGATAAAATCTGGTACTTTCACCTTCTAGGAATTCTTGCCCCAGATTGTTCAAATTGCTATGGTCTCAACCCTATAATGGACCCATTGGGAGTGAATAGGCGTGAAGAAAGTGGAAAACCCAGAACTTTCAAGTGAATATTTCTTTCACAAAAAGCTCTCTAGTCTCGAACAAGCGAGCCTGTACTGAAAAAATTTATACTGAGAGCCAATAGAGTCTTGGTGAACCTATCCCACCTTTACGGCAGACCTATGCAATAAAATCTTATATATGATTAAACTTTTTTATTTTTTTTGGATGCAGATTTATGCCAGGCTTGTGCAAATGAATCAAACAAAATGAATCCTATGTTAGGGTTTGTATGACCATGAATGATCCTGAAAGGGAACTAATGGAAAAAACATCATGTCGTATTCATGGATGACTCGACGATTCTTCATTGTTATTTGGTCATATGGGATCTGTACAAAATTGTGCTTTGATTCTTGAAACAAAATCAAATCAATTCACAGTTTCGAGGAGTGAATTAATGGATTAAGCTATATGACTCTA